TGAGTATAGTAACTTTTATACCTGTGACTAAGGCCAATTTGGCCTGGAAAAGGCTCCAATTTGCCTCAAATCCGCTGGGAACCCTAGAAATTGGTGTTCTTGATTCGTGCCCAATTCGACTCTGACGCTCCAACCAATGATTGGGCATTGTTCTAGGCCTCAAGGGAAGTCTAGTGGTGGTGACAATTGGAAGAAATTGCTTCAGAAATGGGAGAATCGACACAAAACTCGTCGGTGTCACCATTGCCAAATGTCACGGATTTGACCCAATTTCCATCGAATCTTGATAGAAGAATGAAGGGGAAGATGTATGATGATGATTGCAGGTGGAAATGGGATGAAATTTTCCTGAAAAATGGCTCGGAACCGCCAGAATTCCACCGGTTTCGAAACCGGGTTGGGTGCGGGTTTAAAGGATCCGGCCGACCCTCTCCCTTTCTCCTATCTCCTTTCCCATCCTTTCCTCTCTTCTCATTAGGCAAAATTTCCTCCCTCCTCTTCCAATTCGTTCCTCATGTCCCTCTCTTTCCGATTGGGCATCCTTGCCCAATCCATTTTTTTTTCCTCTGTTATCCTTCCTCTCCGTTTCCTTCTTCTTCTTTTTTTATTTATTTATTTTTTCCAATTCCTACCAACAAACTATTAAAATAATATAGTGGTATTTATGAGAAATGAATAAAATAATAAATAACGGTCCTTACCACATAATTTCCAAATTTATAGTCCCGTAAACCTCCATCGTAGTTCCGAATTCAATTTTTTCGTGCGTCTACGCGTTCACACTACCAAATACTTTTGGAATACAGTAAGGTAATAGTTTATACGCATTATGAACTAGTGATTAACGAAAATCAATACCTTCGCCTCTAGGGTATTTTCATAAATTCACATTTTAAAACTTATAAACTCGTAAAATTTGGGACGGGTTGTCACAGAGAAAATTGTCGGCATGATAGATTTTCACATAAAAGTGTTTTTAGCTCAAATGATTAAGATACTGATGTAGGACATAGATTAGGTTATTTCACAAGCAATAAATTTAAAAGAAGCAACGAGCAATCAAACAAAGTGAACAGAGAAATGGTAATTCACGTGTTAATAGGTTATTGGCTGCTGCCATATCTCGAAAGTGAATGTTTTGACTTTTTGTGTTATCCGGATTGACGCAACTTTAGTTTGGTATGTCTGTTTTGGGCCCGTAATATATGGATTCGAAGAAAACGATGAGATCTACAAATTTATTGCAAATTCCAATTTGAGAAAATTATGTCGTTAACAATATTTAATTCGGATTTTAATACTCTAAGAATGATTTTATATTTTGTTATTTGTTTATTCCTACCTATTTAGGGTTTGCTAGTTGTTTATAATTGTTTGCTAGAAAACAATTATCGTTCGATTTTCTTTGATAATTGTTTGCTAGAAAACAATTATACTCTAAACGATTATCGTTCGATTTTCCTTGATAATCGTTTGCTAGAAAGCAACTAGCAAAGCCTATTATTCAATAAACATGAGTTTTCTCTCTTTCTTCCTAGTGAATTCTAGGGATTGCTAGTTGTTTTTCTAGCAAACGATTATCATTCGATTTTCCTTGATATATCTCGCTCTCTCGTTCTTAGTAACATGTAAGGCATTTTGAGTTTGAAAAAAAAACGTAACGTTGACCAAAATGGGAAAATGAAAACTCGATGGTACTGTTCGGGCAGGAATTTCCTTGGAGAAGGCAGCTGGCTCGAACACACAGCTCCCTGAGGAGTTGGCTCTTTGGTTGGTTGTTGGGCTCCTGCTTGTTGAGAAGTTGTAAGAGGATGACAGAGTTAGTTCTGAAATGTGCTTTTGTAGGGCCTTAGGTGTAGGCCTCGAGGCTCGCAATCAAAACTAACTAAGTGCCTAGGCATGCCACTGCCATCTCAGTATGGCAGATGTAGAACAAGTGTGTTTAAGTCGATTACTTCCGCCCCAAGTTATTCTAACTTCTTGCTATCAAATGATTGTTGTAGATGGGTTAAGTTTACATTAAGTTCTTTTCTATGCCTTAAGATCAATGACTTTTATTATCTTGTATGCTTTAAAGGTTAGAAGTCCAAATCTGACTAAGTCATCGGTCTAGTTCCTGTTCAATCTTTTATAGCAGTAAAACTACTAAATGAACTAGATCTAAGTGCTAATGGAACCTTTGATCATCAAATGACTGGAAATGACTTGAATATATACTAAAGAGTACATCATAATACCAGATCCATTAATTGAAAGATAAAATAAAGAGAGTAAGGAAAGATTTCACCTTGTTGGGCAAGGGTGAACGTCTTGCAGTTTCTTCTCTTTGTGATTATAGAGATTTGTGTGTTGAAAGGGATAAGTGGTAAACAGGTTTACATGATGGAATCGCTATTACAGCATTTGGAGAAGGTAGTAGAGCTTTTACACTAAACAAAAGATGACTTTCTAAGGGAACTATTGCTAAAAAGGGTTTAGAAGGTATGAACTGGCTTGAGAGAAGTACGAACTTCTCTTTTATATGTATTTTATCTTGGCCGTTTGCAAGTTTTGCCGGAAAGCACTTAGTGAGTCATCATCTTTTTACATGTTCTGTCATTTAGAAAGTGCTTTTGGGCTGAGGGTAGGTTGATTTCCATTGGTTGTCACTTCCCTTGTAAGCGCTTGTAAGCGCTTAGCCTTTGCATTAATGAGGAGTAGACATATTGTCCTGAGATGGATGGATAGGTCTGGTGTTAGGCTTCGGGCAAATCTCCTCCCTTTAGTTCTTCTGGCCTTTCTTTCTTTTAGGTCCAAAGTTTAAATATTAACCCAAACAGGTATGTAGGACAAAATGGATATGTACTAAGGATAATCAAAACTTTGTTACTTCAAAACAAGTCAATGGATATAGTAGTAAGGAAATAAGGATTACACACGAGAAAAAGAATTTGTTACTTTGTTAGTATGGCGTAGACAGCAGTTGTTGGGGTGAGCAATGAATGGAACAAATATTTAGTGAAACTTATTGGTAATCTTGGTACTTCGGGGATTTTGGTTAAAGAGTTCGATTGTCGAATTTGTCAAATAAGATGCATTAATTAGTACAAGTGGACCTGCAATGCATGCAGTAGTTGAAGAAGTCCTTGAAACCATTAGCTACTGCTTTCTTAGCTAAAACCTAGCTATTTCTTTCTCATATTTCACATAACTTGTTCAGTTGTTGTTTCTATGTTTAACTAGTTTTTGTATCCCTACGGCGTCTCCAATATGAAAACTTAGTACGGGACGCTAAAACTGGTTTTAGCTACACTTTTGCATTGCGCCTACGTATAAACAAATACTGGTTTTAGCTACACTTCTGCATTGCGCCTACGTATAAACAAAGGAGGATGTAAACCTAACCAATTTGCTCCAATTTGGGCAGCTGAACGGGGTTCCCCACTTCAAGAACATAATTTTACACATTCCTTTTACCAACTCCGCCAAAATATTACGCTATCCTCTCTCTCTCTCTCTCTCTCTCTCTCATCAGAGCATGCATTTTGAAGTACGACAAAGAGTGTTAAAACTTTTAAAAGTGATGGTAACTGCCTGTTTGAACCCGAGTATAAGGTAGATAATGTTTATAGTTTATGGGGGTTTCCTTAGAACATGATTACACACCAAACATCATTTTCTTCAAGTATAAAACTCAACTAGTTAGCCAACTCATTGAGGTTACAACTCATTCAACCTAGCAGAGATCATCATCGATTTTAGTGGTATTTTCATGGTTTCATGGTCAATATCAATATATTAATTTGTGGGATATAGAAGTGCTGTCCTTCTTGACAAAAAATATAGTAGTGCTGTCCTTTTAATGATGGTTATTCTTTTAACTTATATAATCAAAGGCCTTTTATTGGAAATTCAATAAATATTGAGAAAACTTTTTGATTTTTGAATTTCCATCAAGAAAAATAGATTATATGCAGAATAGGACAATCAGGTCAACAGGAAAACGCAGAACCTTGTAAACTAATTTCTTCCTCTTCTTGTGTCAAAGATTTGTACACAGACTCTCAGATAGCAGATTCAGCAGGACCCTCAGTCCATGACTTGTCAAAGTAACCACAATTAACTTTTACCAAAAACACCAACCACAATTAGTGATTTAATTTATAAAAACAATAGTCCTTTTGACTTGAACATTAGTCTTATATTTGTGCTTGTTGGGTGTTTCACGGGTCTCATAAGCATGGATGATTAAGATAAACACTAAAGTATGAGACTTGTCCTGACATTTTCGAACCAAATAATTTTATTTATTTATTTTGAGTGATTTTCGCACCTAATTTTCACCACTTGCATTCTTTTCTTTTGTTATGTTCTTTGTTTGGAATAAAACAAAGAAAATTAGCGAATAAAAACAACAAAAGAATTGCATAAAGAGGAGTATAAATAATTATTTTTCTCATGCTGAACTACAAATCCTATCGAAGCTTGTGAAAAACAATTTAAAAGGTGTGGAGTTTTGTTTGTTAGTATCAGAAGTGAAACCGCAATGCATGTTAATCAACACTTGTGTAATAATTCAATTATTAACATCTGCATTATTTGATTTAAGAAATTTGATCTTCCTAACATTACCTTTTTTTTAGTTCAAATAAATTAAAATAAATTGAATTAAATGTGTAAGTGAGTAAATAATGTGCGTGATTAATCATTTTCACTCCAAACATTATATAGACTCATTTGGAAGTGCTTTCAAAATGATTAAAAATGTTGTTAGAGAAATATTTTTTTGTTCCAAAAGCACTTAAAGTGTTTCATGCAAGAAATTTTAATTATGTGCTTTTTATAAGAAGCACTTTAAATACTTTTCCATGGTTCACATGTATTTTTACTAAATATTAGTTTCAAGAATATTTTCACAAATAACACTTTCATTCGTTTTAAAAACACTTCCAAATGAAACCTACCTAATTTCATTTTCATTTATTTCCCTTAGTTTGTACATCATTGTACTTAAATTCTCATATTCGTTCCCAGTTATAAGATTCAGTCAAAATTCAAACCCCCATCAACCCTCTCTCTTTTTCCCCTGCTTTCTCATTTGTCTATTCTTCTCAAACTTCAAAAATTCTCCAATACTTCTTCTTCTTCCGTTTCTTCATTACACGACATGGAAAAAGCTCTGAAACTCAAAGAGAAGCAAAGCCAAGGCCAACGCCAAGCCATGCAAATATTCCAGAAACAACAACAGCGAGAACCACAAGACCAGATCAAGCTAGCTGCCACTGCCATCACCCTCAACGTACGCTTGAGATCATCCGACATGCCAGCCCACATGCAGAACCATGCTCTCCGCTACACCAGATCACTCATCGACTCACCACTACAGCCAACACCAAACCCCAAAACTCGTCCCAACCCAACTCACCTTGCTCGAGCTCTCAAAAAGGTATACCTGCATGATACTTTACTTTCAATCTCTGTTTTTAGAGAACAACTTGCATGTAAACGATTCACCGTCATGTGACATTGTGTTCCAATAATATGAACGGTTCACCGTGACATTGTGTTCCAATAATACAATGTCATGTAGGAGAAATTTACATGTATCATTGTATAAGTCTTCTCTATAATCTAGATTGTTTGTATTTGTTTAATTAATCTGGGTTAATTAATTTAAAGTAAAATTAACTGCAGGAGTTTGACTCGGTGTATGGACCGGCGTGGCACTGCGTGGTGGGGACGAGTTTTGGATCGTTCGTGACTCACTCAGCCGGTGGGTTCGTGTATTTCTCTGTCGACGACTCGCTGTCGGTGCTTCTCTTCAAAACGGAGGTCCAGTTGGTCACGGAACCACAACCACCACAAGAAGCAAAGCCTTCAACTTTGAGTCCTTGTTGAAAATTTTGTGTTGACGCACGATACGTGTTAGTTGTGATTACTCTCCTGCTTTGACTAGCATGTACAATATATTTTCATTTCTTTTATTTTTCTTTAAAAAAACAACATGATGTAGTGATCATTTTTGAGCTTTGCACACAAGAAGAAGGGTGCTTAATTATTGGCTCTCCTTAATTTTTATCAACTTTAATTTGCTCATTTTGGGGTTTTTTTTAAGGATATAAAGTTCTTACTTTTTGGGTAAGATCAACTCCAATGGTGGGCTAAAAGTCAAATTACCTCCCAAAATTTTCCCCCAAATCCAATCCAACCCAAGGGAAAATTTTGGGCTAAATGCTAAATGCTAAATCAATGCCAGATTCTCTCCAAAATTTAGCCCAAAAATCGGAATTTAAATTTTTCAATATTTATCGAAATTTAAATTTTTTTTAGATTAAAATGTTCATAAAATTAATTTACGATAGTCTACATTTAAAAAAAAAAATTTAATTTAACAAAAAAAAAAGCCTAAGTTTATTCTTTAATAATCCCGGACTAAAATTTTAGGCAAGAACGGTTGGAGTAGAAAAGCTATTTCTGAACTAAAACCTAAATTTTTTGGACTAAAATATATTTTAGCCCAACCGTTGACGATTGTCTAAAGAGCTTGTCGTCTGTCATCCCCCAATATCACTTGTAAATAATAACAAAAAAATTTCTATTTTCAGTCCATGTAGTTCGGGAGAGACTCATGCAAATATCAATTTCGCAATTTTAAACATGTAGTTTACGCATCCTTTCATTTTAAGCACGATGACTTGGTTTTGTCTATTTTTCGACAGAACTAGCATGTGATGACATGTGTAAAATCATAACATTGGCCACTTTCGTTGGGAAATTTTGACTGCACGGTAAGGCTGGTACACAACGTAAGATTATGAGAGAGAGAGAGAGAGAGAGAGAGAGAAATTTGGTGTTTGATTGAGAAGCCAAATCAAGGTCTTCTCCATTACATTCTGTAAAGAAAGATTAGAGAGAGACAATTTCAGTCTGCAAATTCCATATAACTACACGCAAACACGAATTGACAGCTCAGAAATCCGTCTCCACTCCCCAGTAGGGTGTGTGTGTATATATATCTCTCTCTCTCATCTTCCCAAAATTGATCTCTGTTCTGCTGCTTTTGTTTATATATATATATATGAAATGAGATCAAGAGACAAATATTTTTATACTTTTTAAGCCTTTTCATTACATGACATCAAATTATTCTTATTTATTCACTAAATGACATGAATGCTTAGGTGGATTTTAACTAATATTAAAGATAAAATAAAACTCAAAAAAACATAAAATCTTGGAAAATTAAAAATATAATTATAAAAGGAAGGTAATTTAACTAAAATTGGTTGTCCCAATCCCATTTCAATCAAGACTTGGATTCAAACTTTGAATCCTAATAAAAAAAAAAAAGGAAAACTAATGAAAATGGTTTGAAAACTTTGAGTTTTAATGATAAGGACAAAATAAAGGGTAAAGTGAATAGTATCATGTTTGACTTTTTAGTGTAAAAATGTGGTTTTTCGTTAAAGTGAACAGTACCGTGGGCTTTTCGTTAAAACTCCCTTAAAAAAAATCATGAAACTTTACTGAAAACAGATTCGAGGTGTCGCCCCATTTCTTCTTCTATTATGTCAAAGGCAACCTGAAGCAATGCATGCCATATGCTATAATAAGTTAAGCAAACCCCACAAAGTAGAAGTGTCTCATCACAAATGCAAGCAACTGGAACCAATAACTTTTCGGTAAATTGAGATTTTACCTGATTGGGGAAGGGAGGAACGTCATCTTGAAGAATGCACAGTTCGTTCATATAATCTTCTTTGATAATATCATGTTTGTTTGCGAGAACCTTTCAATACATGGGTGAAGTTAGGCATGTGTTTAATTGCACAAGCATATGAATTTAATTAAAGAAGTTTCATGGTATTTTCATTAGGGTTCAAAGTATGAATCCAAGTCTTGATTGAAATGGGAATAGGAGAACCAATTTCAATTAAATTATCTTCCTTTTTTAATTATATTTTTAATTTGCCAGATTTTATGTTTTTTTTTCAGTTTTCTTTTTCTTTAATATTAGTTAAAATCAACATAAGCATCAATGTCATTTAATAAATAAATAATAATCATTAAATGTCATGTAATCAAAAGGCTTAAAAAGAGTGTAAAAGTATTTGTTATTGGGATTCCAAATTTTTCATTCTATACTCCAAACTTTCTATATTTAGAAAGACATGAGGTAGAGAATGTAACAATATATATATATATATGTTTGTACCATACTTGACCAATCTCGAAACTACTGAGCACCGATCAACGTTATACCGTCAAAGACCCAGAAGAGTTTTCCTCCAACCAAGAGGTCAATCACAGGGCGAAACGTGTCGACATCAGAAACCAATCATAGCGCGACACGTGTCAACATCAGAAGCCAATCACAACACGACACGTGTCAATGTAAGAATGAAACTATAAACTCTTCTATAAATAGAGATCATTATCTCAAAATATTTCTTAATGTCATTTGTACTAAATCATTCATTAGTACTCACTAAAGGAGAGCTTGAACCTATGTACTTGTGTAAACCCTTCACAATTAATGAGAACTCCTCTACTCTGTAGACGTAGCCAATCTAGGTGAACCACGTACATATTGTGTTTGCTTCCCTGTCTCTATCCATTTTCACACTATTGACCGGAGCAATCTAGCGAATGTCACAAACTCAACACTTTTTGTTGTATTGTGCATCAACAATATATATAAATATATATATATATATATATTATATTCGAATTGTTAATTAATCAATATTTTGGTCAATTTCTTCTGTTTGTTTGACTAGTCCTTAACTGTCTCCTACTCTTGTCCATCACACTATCATCTTGAAGTTTGTGTCCCGGTTTCCTCGCTCCCCTTGGATCCATGTTTCCTAATTTTTCTATCTTGTTTTTTTCCCAAATGCTATTGCATAGGAGAGTAATTTCTGCATCCTCCCGTTGACACTCAACTCATTTGCCAACTATTTTGAATTATTCAATCCGATAACTAAAGAAAAAAAAATAGCGCAAAAGGTGAAGAGAGAGATATGCGAACAAAATTTAATCCCTCAATTATGGCACATAATAGTAATACACACTAATTCATACGATAAACATCATTAAAATACAAATTATACAATAAAGAATCCTAAACTTTCGGCTATGGATACCAAATTCATCAGTGGAAGAGATAAACAGATCCACAAGGAATGACTGGTAATAATTCACTCTTAATATACAAAAAATTTTGCAAAAACTCGGCAGCATGCCGGAAAACACTTAGAAAACTTAACAGCTACAATCACAATAATTACGAGTCTACGGAAGACATACTCTTTTCCATGGTCTGATTTACTGCTGCAAACTAGGAACTCCTAAGACAAGTTCCTTTCGCGCATTAGAGATTCAATCTTCTCAACATCTTCAGGGGCGTCAACACCGTGAGCCTCATGGTCAACTTTAATCACCTGCAAACGTAGAACCATGTGAACTTTTGGACATCCACATTTAAGCAAAAGAACCCATCCAGGTATTCTACATCTTGGTACGTTTGATTTTTATACCCCGTATTTGAGGAGATCAACTACCTCAGGCAAATATATGAAATTGCAATTCTTTTTCCCATTGGACTGAGGTAGTAGTGTTTGAGAGTTCCATGAAATCAAATTGATAGCATTTTGATGAACTAGCTTACTAAATCATTGCAAGCTACATGTATGATGTTTAATGCTCATGCTGCCAAGATAAAGGACTTCATACCCATGAAATGGCATAGTTAAATTCATTAAATCAATTTTGATGACTGCATCAATGTCAAATATGACTTGAATACAAACAGAATGAACATACCACAAAACAACGAGAAGATAAGACGGGTAAGATCAACAGAATAGAACAAGAAAGCATTGCAATGAGATGCGAGTAGGGAAGAACAACGGATCTTTTTGTACCTTCATCTTATACCCATTTTCAAGGACCTTAAGCTGCTCCAGATCCTCTTCTAGTTGCAAAGGAGTAGGTTGAAGTTCTGGATATATCTTTAGAAACTTTGTATCGTAGCTCTGAAAACACAGGAACAGAGAATAATAAGCTCACAGGTTAAAAGCCAATACAAGTGGTATAAAATAACTTACGACCACAAATAACCATGCACAATTTATCAAAGTACAATGTCAATTTAATACCTGAATTCCTAGATGAAGCAAATAGGGAAACTGTGGATTCGCCTTTCCTGACCTTTATCAGAGGACAATTAGTCAAGTCTTGCTAAGAACCAGAAAACAAGTTCTAACTTTTTTCATTCACCACGATATAAATAGTTTCATGAGAAACAAAAACAGATAAGCATAAGCTTACTTGTTAAATGGAATCAGCCCCCTTGAAAAATAGATGGCATAACCACTATTATCCACCACACATTTCACTCGATTTGGATCCAATGCATCTTCAAATTTTAATGACGTGACTGCAGTACTAAACACTGCATCTGGAGCTTCCTGACAAGATTAAAAAAATCCATTAAATACCGAAATACGTCATCACATTAGAAATGAAATTAAACAGCTAAAGGAGAAGAATTGTTGAAAATCGAAAATAGCACAATGCCAACGTCGATTTATTCTTCCTATGGTGGCAGTCACATCTGAAGGGGCAAAATCATGGAAAAAAGGAGAAATTAGTTACCTGCAAAGCTTTAACAATTCCGTCTATTATCTCAGGTTCAATAAGAGGCTCATCCCCTTGAATATTGACAACTATATCATAATTCTTCTCGAGCTTCTCAATTGCTTCAGAGCAACGCTCGGTACCTTTGAGTTCATAAAAATGAATATAAGCTACCGTAAAAGGCAATTATATAATTAATCTGAAAATGGTGTATACCGTTCCGGCAGGATTCTGAGGTCATTACGACATCAGCTCCAAAACTGTGACAACATTCTTGAATCCTCTCGTCATCTGTCGCCACAACTACACAAACGAAGGTAAAATAAGGTTTCGCACATATACATGGACAAAGTTCACGTCACAAAATTTCATGAAGCCTTTTTATCACTCTTGTCGGCATTAAGAAAAACTTAATGACATCAAGAGGATGTAAGCGTCAAGCCTAAAACGAAAGGTCACTTAGGTATTAAAAGTATGGAAGATTGGACCAAATCTTATCACATCTGGTCTATTTAAATCAACCTAAGTCACTGAGGTTGTTTTGGTTATCGAAGATCTCTGTAAAGGTGATTATTCTTCGGGGAATACAATGTCTTAGCTGGAACAAGCTCTTGAAGCTACGAAAATAGGCCGGACCAGTGGTTTCTGACTCCAGTCTTCCTCTTTCAACCAAAGTCAAGGATGTTACTTGTAGTGGATAGGAAAACTAACGAAAATGGTTTAAAAATTTTGAGTTTTAATCAAAATGACAAAAATGTGTTATAAGTGAATAGTTTCAGAGTGATTTTTTAGAGTAAAAATGTTCAACGTGAACAATACCAAGAGTGTTTCGTTTAGACTCCCGTAGTGGATACGGGAATTTGACAAGTACCACATCAAATCAGCTGGTAGAAGTTGAGATACGCTGCCTAAAATTCAAATGACGGCACGGGGTTTTGGATGCCTCGAAAAACTGCTAGATCTAATGAAATGCCTCAGAAATCTGAGATTTAACACGAAAAACCAAAATCGCATGGAAATTAGTAGACATACCAACACGATCCAGTGTACTTGCAAGTTTTGCTCTTTCCCATGTTCTCTGTAAATACCAAGAAAAAAATTATGTCAAATGTTGCCCAATTACAATTTACCAAAATCCCAATTTTTTCTAATTTTTAACACACCCTGCTGTAGATCCCTGCTGCTTAAAACTCCCAAATTTCATTGAAATTGATGTCAAAATTCAAAATTAGACAATACCATTTCACATTAGATATAAAACATTTCTTACAGAACAAAGATTTCAGAAAAAACATCATTAAATTATATGTTTTTAAGGTAAACTGAGGGACCTGGATCATGGGTTTTCCGAGGATCTGAACGAGGGGCTTGCCCTGGAAACGAGAAGAAGCAAAGCGGGCAGGTATGATGCCGACGACCCGGCTCCGGAACTTCTTAGTCGGACCCAAGTAGACCCGGGCCCCAATTGCCACCGCAACCGCAACTCCGGCGACGATTCCGTGGACGATCCATGCCTTGGTGCTGTTCCAAGATCCAGAGGAGGACGACGACGAGCACGTCGACATTGGGTTGATGTTTGATTTCACTGAACAGAGTGAACGCAACAGTCGTTTTCTTTGTCAAGATTTAATGGGTATTTATACTTTTCACCCGTTCGAAACGGGTCGTTTGTAGTAGACGGAAGTTGGGGACCCGGATCCCCTCCGGAGCAATATATGGGGAGCCTGCTGAGCAAGATCATCGGCTGTTAAAATTTGATCTAATGGCTACAAATAGAGAGCCCCTAAAAGTTATAATAATTGTAGTCGTTGAATTAAATTTCAACGACCCGGATGACCTGCTCAGTAGGCTCCCCATATATTCCTCTGGAGGGGATCCGGTTTCGAAAGTTGGAACTCACTTGGGTGGACGGCAATCCCAATGAAATTTGGGAGTTTTAACGAAACTCTTTGTACTGTTCACTTTTAACGAAAAATCATATTTTTATCTTTCCTGGTACTATTTATTATATCTTTATTTGTCATTTTTCATTAAAACTAAAAAAAAAAGGATTTTTCGTTAGTTTCCTATGAAAATTTTCACTCATTTCTTACACTATTTTTTTCTTTTTCAAAATGAAACAATTAAGGGTTCAAGAAGATTTTGGTTGAATCTAATTCGGCCCTCACTATGGAGAAAATTTTCATTGTGACCGAAACACATATGGTACACCACGTGTCATCATATAAGTAGAGAAAGTTACTTTTCAAATTGTTATTTTTTTAACTCAAGTATCTCACCACTTATATAATGGCACATAATGTACCACCCTATGTTCCAGGCACACTAAAAAATCTCTCCTCACTGTGCAGTTGATTCTAAATCCTCAAGTTGGTAATCATTCTATATGGAGTTTGATCTTAATTGTAGTGGTTTTATGCACTGAAGTTGGTCTTGTGGCACGTTTGTCGAGAAATGAAGTTTGTTGCTAATAATTTGGCTCGTTAGGTTTATCTTGCAATTTGAGTCTATATTATTTTTAGCAAGCTCCTCCATCGTGTCGACGTCTTCTACTAGTTGTCGATATAGAAAGAGTCGCTTGGGCTCCAATTTAGGAGCCAAGTCTACGGTCCAAGATTTGGGCTCCAATTTACAAGTAGAAAATTTCACCACACCGGTCGTCACCTAGTCGGATTAGTGCCGAAGATGAGAGCATGTCGGCAAGGAAGTAACGACGTTAAATTTATCTTTCTATCGAGAAAGATGTGACTACATCAATTAACAACATAATGTTAAGTTTCTGTTACATTTCCGAGCCGAACACTCGGATCACTGCACCAAGTCAAAAATGGTTAAATAGTCTCACCTTGCAGAACACGTTTTGATGTGCTGCATACAGGTGACGGTAACTCATCGCAAGCTCAACACGCGCCTGTTATGCACGTAAATGCCTGTTATGCACGTAAATGCAGTAAACGAGCAGTCAATGTCAGCACAGAGGCTCAACTTAGTACTGCATTTCTATTACGGGTGAACAGCAGCATGTTGTGCAGTATCCTAGGTCCGTGAATGACAATGCTCATCGGACCTCCACTAGCAGTGGAAAAGAAAACCAGACACCTCAAGAACATGGCAACTTACAGGCACGAGAAGGATTCTACCGAGTCCATGCACCACCATAAGGACCAAAACTATTGGCAATATCTTGGGAATGTCTCTGCCTCCTCATCTTCTTTTTCCCCTTGTCTTTCCTTGAGCCATTTTCCTCATGCCCGCTCTTCTCTCGCCTTGAGCCATTTTCTTCATATCTGATCTTCTTCCCCACCTCCCCATTTTCTTTTCCCTTCTTACTTGACTTCTCTTTAAATGAAGCTTTCCTCTTCTTTCCTGATGATTGCCCACTGTCACCTGCAGCAGAATCATGTCCCCGCGGCAGGGGATCATCTTCATCATCTAACTGCCAATTGCCTGGTAACTCCTGATCATCATGCTCTAGCTGAACTGGCTCCCCTGCTCCAGGAAGCAAGCTATTAAAAGTTACCATTCCAGGCCCTCCTTTGCGTTCCACCAATGTCGAATCAGGCCTAATTATGGTACCGAGAATGCTCCTGTTTGGCCCTAGGCACATGATGACCTTAGGGTTTGTCAATGTAGCGTACGCCATTGAAAAAGCTGATCTAATCTGCAACAAATACAAGAAATGACGTGAGGGACGGAATGATGCGAGGTGGAGTAAGGTAGAAGAGAGATCAGCAAATTATAAGAATTGGATTTGCAAGTGCTGCAAGCCAGTCTAACTGGTTGAACCTAATGAAAATACTAGCATACGTGTGAGGCCATATGCATATGGCAGTCAGGCATCTCAGACATGTATTGACAGACATGAATGCTAAAGAGCAATGTATACAAACTTTTTACGTGTAACTGCATGCGCACATCATGCACACACAAAGGATCTATTTGACAATTACTACTGAACAACACTACTTAAGCCACCGCCGATCACCAATCATGCCAACCAGCCATTTCGTCCATCAAATCCATACACTTTACATCATTAAACTATATAAAGTGTATATTAAGGTACTCGGCGGATTTGAGGAGGGTGAGAGATCATAAATCATTCAACCAACCTGAAAATAGTTGAAGGAGCTCTTCCCGACGTCATTTTCCGGTGCCTATATAACAAACCATAAAAATTGGTCAATTATATCTGAAAGAAAGAAATTTTGGGAAGCATGGATCATCACCCCTGTTGAATTAAGTTCTTCCTTATCCCCGACTGTTCTGAAACAGGGCCCAGGGATGTGAAAGACTGTCATTCACTAAAAGAGCATGTCTACTAAAATTTATTATTTTTCGTCATGTCAATCAACTTCCTTGAGAGGGAGCCAAACCAAGCAAATAGTTAAAAGGGATTAAGTCAACTAATTCAGAGGCCTGCTTGGGAATATCAGATTAGCATTACTTAAATGTACACTAACTGGAAACAGAAAATCAAGCAGCATTTCAAAGAACGAAGATAGTATAATTGATTATGTTCTTTGTTTCTTCCAGTCTCCCACAAAATAACCATTCAGAATGAAATCTGCAACAAACCTGGGGGTCCTCGATGGCTAGAAGAAAGGGTCGTCCATTGCTTCTGAACCTAAGAGAGGACAAACCAATTCCATAAGTTACATATAACTTTGACCAAAAGTAGAGAATCAAATTGTACATTAAAAATCTGAGAGAATATCATCACTTTCTCAAGAAGGCTATTTATTTTTTACCCTTTAACACTCTTTTTAAAAAAGGTGCCTGCTCCGTTACACGATACACCAACATCTGAAGTGTTCAATTTGCGTCCATAAAATCAAAGAAGTTTACCTATTTAAAAAACAAAACAGATAAACAAAGACATAAGTCACAACCCACCAACTTTTCTTCATATCCTTTAAACAAATCCTATACTCTGATAATGAAGCTAAGAACTAGAACAATGAGGTGACTTCCATGGTCCACAAAACTCTGTTTACAGTTTACAACAAAATACTGGTTGCCAGGATGAAGTGCAAGTTAATTGACTTGTGAAACAATGAAACTCCAAGCAGTAATTAAGATCCTAAGTTGTCTTCTACTCGATCTAGAAAAACTTACCAAAAGAACTCCCAAGTTTTGTTCCAGAGCTCGACATTCCCCGAGGCTCTGTAGCATAAAATCATTATGTAAATCAGGCTAAAGAATTTACTAATGATGAGGAATTTGATCCATTTATCTGAATTTCACAATTACAGAAGTTGTTATTTGCTTATCTATCATCCAAACGAAAGATCATATTTGTGTAGCAATATATCTATTTCATTCTAATTGTAGAAACTTGTCCTTGGATCTCATTTGCACTCTTATGTCGATTCATTTTCTTCCACTGTAAGACTCAATGAAGCAGCAAGTTTACAGAACCAAACAAGAGAGATGCATTACAGGTATACAGCATAGACATAGTCAAGAAAGAATGGCATCAAATATTTAAATGTGTATACATAGGCAAGAAGTCATCAAATGTTAAAATGCATATTTAAGAATCACTCACATGCAACATCGCCATGATCATTGTAAGCAGTGGCGGATCCAGGAATCTTACCTCAAGGGGTCGCAGTGTAAAAATTCAAATAAAAATTAAGGATGGAAAAACATATTGAAAATGAAATCATAGTACTTTCATTCATAATTCATAACGGAAACAATATTACAACTATAATTGTCCACGACGAGATTTCATACTTTGAAAACGAAGCATTATAGCTTCATTTTCAATACAAGCAAAAATATATCTCTCAATATAAACAAGCAAGCTATCACTCAACCATTGATCTCCCATTTTGTTCCTAAGTGGTGGACCCTTAACAATATTCATGACAGAAAATGCTATCTCCACTGAAGCAGTTGCAACTGGTAAAACTAAAGACAATGTAATGAGCAAATATACATAATTGAATACTTGATGCATCCTTGTCTCCACCATTTTTTTTGCAAGATCACCAATCCCTTCCAATTGAGAGAAATCACTACTGGAACACACATAATGAATATAAATCTCAAGTTGATCTTCAAGTGTCAAACGATCTTCATCCGAAAAGTCTTGAGGATAAAATTGAGTAAGACGAAGTAACTTTGGTTTATCAAAAGCTACATCTCCATTTTTCATTTTCTCCTTTATTTTTGTTCTTAAACAATATGTCATTCGATTTTTCATTTTCCCATTTATTTTTGTTCTTAAACGATATGTCATTCATATGCTGTGTTTCACGTGTCTCAGTTTCCAAGTCCTCTTCTACCCTATCTCTCTCACTCTATAATTGTTTAGTTAAATAGGCCTACAACAACCCTTGCAAGTCAAGCATTTGTAAACATTTCTATACAATTGAATCCTCAAGCTATCACAAACCATATACTGTAGTAATGGTTAAATCAAAGATTATGATTCCGGGTCGGTTTGCATGCGCGAGGTCGGGTTTCGATAGCCTTCATCTCCATTTTTCATTTTTTTCTTTTATTTTTATTCTCTAATTTTGATTATTTTTTAATAGTTAATGTAACTCTAGGCCCAATAAAATAATAAAATAAATTTTTGACACATCCAATGGAAAAAAAAAAAAATTTAGCACTAGTATTCAATTTGCCACATCAGCCATGAACTAAAGTTTTGACATACTGTATTTGACATCTCCTTTGGAAATGCTCTAACAAGCCCGATTCGCCTTGAATTCTTTATTTGGACTTCAAATTAGTTAACAACTTTATTTAGGCTTCAAAACAGGCAACCAACCTTTTCTATAATTTTTCAGTTAAATAAGCATACATCAGCCCCTTATATGTTACTTGCAATTGATGAGGAGTCTGTCCTTTTTTGTGTAGGTCTTGGGGGATTTGCAGGTTAAGCATTTGTACATATTTATATGCCTTTAGTACTGAAGGTTTCACATAGCATCTGCTGTAGCAATGGTTAAATCAAAGATTATGATTCCGGGTTCGAACCCCGGCAGCGGAAAACTTCTTCTTTTTTTGAATTTATCACAATTAACAGTTAAGTAAAATTATTGAAAACAAAAAGCCACGTTGGGGGGGATCCTATCCTGCTCTCTCTCTCCTCTCTCTTTTCTCTCTCTCTCTCTCTCTCCCCAGACATGGAGCTTTCTTCTCTGCGGTTCCCAGCTATAACACCTCACTGCAGCACCTCATCCTCTTTGCCTCCAATTTCTGTTCGGCCCACCACTACAAAATCGGTTGCTTTTCTCTCAAGCTGCAGGACAAAGTTGTACTCAATTGGGGTGTCCAGAAGCAGCTCCAAATCCTTGCTTAGCTGCCGAAAGAGGCGAAATTCCATCTGGGTATGCTGCATTTCTCCACTCTTAAGTTTAATTGCTCCAATTGGGCTGTCTCTCTTGGGCCCAGTGCCTTCGTCTTCTTCATCACCTGCCCAGAAACCGACGACCTTTCGTCGAACAGTTGGTGTGCAGCCAACGGGGTCGCACCAGGGGTCGCCCATCAGCTCCAAGGGGTCTCTAAGGTGGCTTCCATGGCTTCCAAGGGGTCGCGCGACCCCAATGACCCCACTGTGGATCCGCCACTGATTGTAAGGAGGGCATAGGAACCTAATCCACCAGAGTATACCTGCATATGTTATCAGAATGTTGAATTAGGCTGACTTGAAAGATAATAAAGAAAAAGAAAGACAACTTAATCTGTTAGACTGGAAAGTCATACCTCGTTTAGTTCTCTCTGTTGTAAAAAGACTTTCAAAATCAAACATAAAGGCCGCAAAGGAGGCCACTTAGATACTGCACCCTGAAAAGAGACCACAAGATAGTGTCAAGGGAAACTGAAAATAGTTAGTCCCTTGCTTTATATGTAATCTATATCATTTCAACTGGCTCCTCACATAGTTTTCTGCTTTTCTTTTAAGTGTCTACAACACTTTACTAGGTGGAAGCTGTTCAAAATTTTCTGACATTGCAACGTTTAACTTAGCAAAATTAATTTTAATTTCAAATTCACAGTTTACCAAGTTATCATTTATTACTTCTTTTCACCCCTCTGTAATATTCTTTCATTATCAACATGCTTATATAACTATTGTTCAAAATACTGTAACTACATCTGAAAACATATTAAACCTTGATCAATGCAATGAAGAGCACAAAGTTGCAAACGCCAATGTTGAATGACCCAAAAACTTCAACCTAGAGAGCGACATTCATTGAACACCATCACGATATCATGAAATTGTTCGTGCTTAAAATCACACACCTGCACATTCGCACTCACCAATACGTAGGAAAAAAACAGTACCTTGGATCGAGGAAATATATATTTGATTAGGTCAGAGACACGTTGTACTGCTGCACTGCGTGACTCTTGTTCTTCTGGGGTTGGAGACAGAAAATCACAAAAATCCACTATCTCTGCAATACCCATCACAGATGCACAAATTTGAAGTTGCACATACACACCACATTACAATTACACAATTTTTTCCCTTGAAAGACATTGAATTCATATACAAGTAAAAGAAATAAGCAAAAAATATGAACTTTCTTCTCCGTGTATAAATATATATATATATATATATATGTGTGTGTGTGTGTACGTATTCATGCAGTTAAAAGTGCAGGAAGTACCTTTATGAAGCTGAAGCATAGGGCTCTTGAATTTACAATGGCCACGAAACCACCCGCTCTCTAGCTTCGGCTCGACTTCAAGAGCCGGCGTCGTCGGCTCGGATTGGTAAAGCGGCGTCCATGGCTCCGCTAGGCGGACAGAAGACAAGGAGGAAAGAATTGGGTCAGGTTCATCGGCGGTGACGTCGAGGGAGAAGAAATCGGGGGCGGCGGTGTCGACCGGAGCGCATTGGGGAGTGGAGAGAGTAATTTCGTTGCGGAAAACAGAGTAGGGCTCGAGGTCATCGGGCGGCGGCGGAGATTGGTTGAGGGTGGGAAGAGAGAGGGCGGGTAAGGTTTCGTAGAGAAAGCTTTGTGTCGGTGGCTCCTCCATGTTGCAGAGGCGGATACGGCGGGTACAGGAATTCGGGATTGTGGCTTGTGAGGGTTTATGCCTTTTTTGGGGAAACTTGTGAGGGTTTTGTACTTTTAAACTCGTTTGAATGTTGACCAAACAATGATTTCTGTTACGGGAAATATGAAAATTTGTAAAGGCGACCAAAGAATGTTGGTCAAACGTTGATTCCTTGACGGTAGTGAATTATATGTTGGTGATCAGATGTAACTGAAATATCTTTGTGAATTTTTTCGATCTCGAATAATAGACAGTCGTAACGAAATTACCTATTAGTTTGTTCAGTAAAAAAAAAAACTTTAATTTTACAGATGAAAAGGTTCGACTAAATTCATAGTTTTAGTTGTAAAAAAAAAATCATAGTTTTAGTTGCATTAAAATTTTTGGGATGGCTTTTTGTCTAGCTTTTCGTACCCCTTTTAGAAACTACTTGGAAATTCGCCGTACTCATCGAGAAATAGGGCATCAAGTACTATATCACTCAAGATAAAAGAGTCGACTCACCAACCATTCGAGATGGGCGGCCTCAATTGTTGCTGAAGGCGAGACATTCTTACGTTCGTTGCCCAGACCACTTCAATCATACGACCCAATGACAAAAATTTACGCCTACTCCACTGCCTCTGATTTTCAAGCTCACCAAACTCCACTCTTTGGTCTCATCCTCCTCTCTCTTTGTAGCCCCGGTTCTAGACATAAAAATCTCTCCTCGAGGAAGCTCAAGTTTTCTAAAGATAGCCTAAATTACTTTTATTTCCAGCCCAAAAAAAGGATTTGTACGTGAAGTTAAATACGAAATTGGATTCTTAATTTATTCGTGATGTTCTTGTTTAATTTTCAAAACGACATCATAATTCAAGACAACTTTTGATTTTGTGATGCAAAGCAAGTAATTACAAATGAGAAATTCTCCTAAAGTCAAATTAAGCACGTCACAAGTTCTTGATCAGTAAGGCATCACCTTGACAAACACACACAAAACCATTCTACACATATTATTACCAAAAGAAAAACAAAATGATCATTAATTAAGCAAATTCTTTTTGCCAGTCAACATGTGTGGAATATCAAACAACATTAATTACCTAATTTAACTACATCCCAAAAATCTTGACCACAACGTCTCAAACTTCTAACCGTACGATTGGTGGTTATTGAAAGAGATGAACATTGTTTGTTGTGTGCAACAATTTTTCATAAAGTGGCTTCCAAGTAGTTGCCTAACTTCAATTCTTCTAAAATTAGAATCCAAAACAAATGCTGGTGCAACTCCTTTTGCTGCACCGCATATATATTTTGCTGCTACAAATTTTCCAAAATTGTGTTTAACCACAATATTGATGAGCTCGTGAGGCGACGGATGTAGCTTCAGTGACGGAAAGGATCTACCCCTACACACGAAACGTGAGTTCAAACTTTTCCGATGGCTTCCCCACATGACCTCCCAATGGACAATCAAAGTTTGTTCACACAACGAATGGTCCTCGTGTACAACATCTTTTGTGAAGCCTTCGTTTCAGAACCCGATCCTCCAGAGCTTCCAGCTAAGATCATTGCATGCATCTCAATCGTCACCTTCTTGTTCTTGATTTGCAACCACATTCTCAATGTGACCCTTGCCTGGCTCCTAGGAGTCGTCCCAGAACATGATCTTGAGGGGGGAGACATCATTTACGGGCCTCGAATTGACATTCTCAATTCGAGTCCCTTTCGGATAGCTATAATGCAAAATACGCAGAGGCTGGGAGTGATGACGAGAGTCATGCAGGATTTCGATGAAGGAAGAGGGCCGAGGCTTAGGGCTTTGAAGAAATTGCCACCATTACTGAATTATGGAAGCTGTGAAATAAGATCAACGAGTTCATCAAGGTGTACTGCATGTGCAATTTGTTTGGAGGATTTTGCAGATGGTGATTCGTGTCAAATTTTTTCACTTTGCAACCACATGTTCCATTCGAATTGCATCGACCATTGGTTGATGAACAAGCCAACTTGCCCAGTTTGTCGAAATTGTATCATGGATGTATGACGAATACTTTTAATTTTTTTTAATTTTTTAGTTTTTGAGATTTGTATGTTGTGAATCTGTCAAACACCTGTAATTACCAACATTCTTTGTAAGGCATGTTAATAGTTTGCAACCACTTTAGCAAACACTTTAAGCCAAGCAATTACCCTAATTTTGGGGTTTAAATGGAACTTCGTTCGTACATTCGATTCTTGGTATGCAACCATATAACGAATTTAAATTAATTAGATTCCTAAGGCCTCGACACGAGACAACTCTTTCTTGAACTAAAACTTTCCCAACAAATTATAAACCTTCGATCTCAAGTGGAAACACCTACATGTTATATATCGGATACAAAATATGAGATGTAGAAAATTTAGAGGTAGTGTTGAAGAATAAGAGGAAGAAAAAAGTACATATTATCACTGGTGGAGCTACACCCACGGCTACAGTGGGTTGTAGCCTAGGGAGGATTTTAACAAATTGCAGCTATAATAGTTTATATATGAGCTTGTTGTTGCTTATTGTAAGTATAATAGCCCACCCAAATCCTGTCAAAACTAATAGTTAATGTGTTTCTTAATTTGTAAATAATACTTTTTTTTTTGTCAAATAATACTTTTATTACCTTATATATTATTTTAAGGCTAAAAGTAAAAATGGTAAATTAATACATTAGGTTTCTCCTACCCTCCATGCTTTTTACCCTATTCATTCAAAACAAAAAAACCCTCCACCCTATTCCACAAAGCTGCGTTGCTTTCCCAAGAAAAGAAAAATTATGAATCACCATCAAATTATTTTCTAATGAAATTCAACACCAGGTGTGTTCTTCATCTCTTCATTTAACTTATTTCTTGATTCAATTGTTAGGTTATTTTTTTTTTTAGTCCTTGAATTTGTCTACTAATGTTAAAGATTTTGGGAATAGTCCATGTTTCATGGTTCTTGTAATTGTAACTATTAAAAAGGACTCGATGACAATATCAATTATGATAATAACAAAAATTTCAATTCCATTACAGATATCTACGGCACAACTTGAATTGGTATCCCCTGATCCTTTTTTTCTTTTGGGTACTTGTTATCAACAAAAGTGATAATATTTGTTCTCTTTCTATTGCATTTTTGTATGCATGTTTTATTTGTGTAAAAATTAGTTGGAAGGTAATTAATAGTCTCATTTGGATTAGTACTTCATGTTCTTACTTTTATGTACATTATTAGCTAGCCCATCCAAGAAAAATTTTCTGGCTCCCCTATTGCATATTATGGAAATGGAAAAAATTATAAGGATTATATTTTACTTCCTAAGTTATTATATCCTTTAGGAGGATAACTAGAGGTTGAGGCTCATGGATTAGGGCTCGTTACATGCCAAATCAAACAACCCCCTCTAATATTAGGTCAAGATTTCATAAAGACAGGCAGGCGATTTATTACTAATTATACTTATAATATCGGTCAACTTGCATCTTAAGCCAGTGGCAGAGCTACACTGAGGGGAATGGTGCTCACCACTCCAATAACCCAATGTTCCTCGTAATTTTTGTCTTAACTTTATAATTCGTTCAAAGAAGAATAAATTTGATGGTGTAGTTGGAGCGGTGCTAAATATTTTGCATACCATTCAATTGGAATTTGGCTTTATCATTTAGACTGGAGGTACGATTTTTTTTATATTTTATTTTATGCAACAATGATATTATCTACATTAAGATGTGGGGGAGTGAACTATGCCTCACTATAGGCTAGTAATAATTGTAGACTTATCAGAGAGATAGGCCAAATGCCCACTTCCAACAACACTGATGTTGTCCCCAACTTGTTAATTACCACTTGCACAGTCCCTCTGATGGGGGTTTTATCACAAAATGTCTCGGTATTAGTTAGAGTGGGGTTATGATATTTAAACTCTTATTTTTTTTATTTCTCTAGCATATGTGGGGTTTCAACACGCCCCCTCACGTGGGACCCAAATAGTGGGTCACATGTGGGAGATCCACACATTGGTAACCACATGGAGCCAAAGGGACTCACCCTACATGCGGGGCCAAGGGACCCACCATCATCACGCGGGGCCAAGGGGACCACCCATCACATGACAATACGGGCCCACTCCTTGACTCTGATACCATGTAGAATTATTAGAGAGATGGGTCAAAGACCCACTTCCAACAACACTGATATTGACTCTAACTTGTTAATTACCACCTGCACAGTCCCTCAGGTGTGGGGTTTTATCACAAAATGCCTCGGTATTAGTCGGAGTGGGATTAAGATATTTAAACTCTTCTTTCTTTATTTCTCTAGCCGATGTGGAATTTCAACAATAATATGGTTCAAATTCACCTTTGGTGAGAATCAAACTTAAGACCTCTCACTTACAAGTGAAGAGGAATATCACTAGACCATAGTACTAAGTGGCGATACAAATTTTACTTCCTCATTCATGTGGGCTAGTCTTTGTTTGACCACTTTGTGCATTACATATGTTCATCCTTCACTTGCGAACTAGAATATTACATAATTCACTTAATTACGCCTCTCATTAAATGTTTCAAACAACTATGTTATTGTTAAATCTTAGATTTCATACAATCATTATTAAACGTAGTATTAATGATGGGGTTCTAGGTTTCTTTTCAATTGATTGAATATAACTAATAATTAAGTAATTGAGTATTGTAAGATATGGGAAATTTTTTATTATGACGGGAACATGGATGATATACCACGTGTTTTTATATAAGTGGTGGGAAATTTTATTTTTTAAGTTATTAACTTTTTAACACATATATCACACCATTTGTATAGTGACACATGATGTACTATCTCGTGTGCCGGTCATCACTAGCAAATTAGGCACACCATTTCCATAATTATACCACCATGCAACTAATGAAAAAAAAAAACACACACAATTAGTAATGAAAAATAAGAAGTAAACTCAACAACAACAACAACAACAAAGCCTTTTCCCACTAAGTGGGGTCGGCTATATGAATCCTAGAACGCCATTGCGCTCGGTTTTGTGTCATGTCCTCCGTTAGAACCAAGTACTCTAAGTCTTTTCTTAGAGTCTCTTCCAAAGTTTTCCTAGGTCTTCCTCTACCCCTTTGGCCCTGAACC